AAATTGTATAGCATATATATCATGTGTTAAACGAGACATTGGTTCTGTATCATGAAATACTTGAGAAAAACCATTATGTTGTTGAATTTCAACAAGTGCAAGCTAAAAGAGAGACAAACATTGTTTTTTTTTAAAGTTTCTTTATATATATATAAAACAAGAAAAAAATGCTTTTTTACATCATTCGGATCAAGATTTGATTGTTGAGCAATAGCTTCTCGAACATCTTTAACAGTATTTGTAACTGGTAAACATAAACCAATTTGTAATTGTTTTGGTGATTGATTAAGAAAGACAACAGTTATAAAAACAGGTTTAATTATTTTTTGTGGTATTGGTAATGATAATAATAAATATGGTTCAAATGTTTTACTTTCTTGTTTACATTGATTACAACGTAATGTTGAATGTAGTTGAGCACTAAATGTTAATGTTATTATACTTTGATTTGCATCTGTATAATCTGACCATGCACGTCGTGCTAATTCAACTGATGCAAGTGATGATGATGATTGAGAAGATATTGTCATAGATGAAAATGAATTCTAACAATAAGAAATAAATACAAATAAAATTTTTTTTATTTCAATAAACATACTTTAGCTTGTTGCCGTACTCTTGCATTAGCAACTAAATTTAATTCATCATGAATTGTATTAATAAGATATAATAAAAATTCTTGAGCATCATTTTGATCATTACCAGAATATTGTCGATTAAGATTACCAATAGTTGTTTTAAAATCATAGGATAATTTTGATGTTGTATTTGATGAATTATTCCATAATGCTTGAAATATTTGTACAAAAGATTTTGTTACTTTAAAACCATGTGGTTGAGATGTTGATGAATGTTGATAATCGAGTATTGCATTTTTTATATTACGCATATCAATTTCATAACCTTTTCGTAATATATATAAAGCTAATTGTTCTGTATGACATAAACATTGAACAATAGCATTTATAAAACTAAAAAAAAACAAAAAGTCAACATCATTTTTATAAGAAAATTAAATAGTTAATTTTTTTTTTCTTTTACATATGAAATTAATTTTTATCTATTCATCAACATTAAACAAAAGATTGCTGCTTATGACAGATCTATGTAGATAGTCATGAACAAAAAAAAAATGATCTAAATCATTTTTGTAAAAGAGAAATCATATTTAATGAATGATGCACTGTTGAAAGGTGTGGATTTGAAGGTAACGATAATAGACTTTTAGCCACCTACATCTCAATGATTCCATTCTGACGATCTTTCATTATTATTTTTACACTTTTTTTTTTAATATAATTTCGCTGTTATTCTTGCATAGCTTTAATAAAACTTGAGATTTTTTTAGTATGGTCTAGAGACATTTCATAGACGAAATACCATGGTTACTTTAATGTCGAAATTGTTCAAATATATATATATGAGCATTTATTCTTCATCTTAGTTCTTCTATATAATTTGAAAATTAAATTCAATAAAAATATTTCATACTGTAATTAATTTTCTTGTTCAATTATAAAATTAGTACTACTTGATTATTTATTAAAGTAATATTCATAAGTATTGAAAAAATATATAAAATATGCTTTTGTTAAATTTAAAATATTGAAATTTAGCAGAATAATAAATATCTAAAAAATTTCATTCAAAATTATTCTACCGACACGATATCAATCTATTGAATTTCTTTGAATAAAATAGAAATATATGAGTGCCATCTAGAAGCAAAAAAGAAAACGACTAATCTTGACTATGAATCTTTATCTTCAATTCAAAGTTTTGAATAAGAAATCAGAATATGTATGCTGTATTCTATATATATATATACTTTTCACAATAGTTCATTATACTCAAAGTTAATAATATGTTGCAAAAATTATTCTATTAATATTCTCTTATTTTTGTATTTGTACTATATAATTATAACAAGAAATAACTATATAATATTTTTTTTTCTTTCAAAGAAAAATAAAAGAATATGATTAGTTTAAAATATTGATGTCTAATTGAATAGCTTATAATTATGTTTATCAAAAAAAAATGCTACTTGACCACAAAATAAGGTCAAATGAAAAAATTTTTACCATGTATTGCCACAATTTTTAAGTCCATATAAAAATGGAACATGTTGAGTTGCAGATGCTAATGTACGTCGATTTGATTTTCTTCGAATATCTAAACGTGTTAAAGAATTTCTTCGATTTTCATTTGAATTTATTGCATTATTATTATTATTATTAATCATTGCTGATGATGAATTTAGATTTTTAAATATAATTGGTGATGTTGAATTGTTTAAATTTTGTTCAATTGAATTATTTGAAGTTGAAATTTGATATTCTGAAGATTTTTTTGTTGATGAAAAATTAATTAAACGTTTTAAACGTGAAAAAAATGATCGACGTGATTTTGTTGTACTAGATAGAACAGATTCATAACCGGATGATGATGATGATGATATTGTTGTATTTGTTTTATAATATGATGTTGTATCAGATGATATGGGTTCAGTTAATATTGGTGAATATGAATGTGTTGTTAAAGGTAATACATTTGATACAAAATCAACAGAACCCGATTGCATTGAACCTAATGTACGTATATGATGATGAAGTGTATTATTGTTATTATTACTTATTGAGAAAGATTTACTAGAAAAATAAAAAAGAAATACATATTTAGATAATGAGAAAATTTGAGTAAAAAAAAAAAAGAAAGAATAATTAATGAAATATTTTACCTGCCAACAACATCAGCAGCATCACGTTGCTTTTTAGTATTATAAGTAACAAAATCTGTACTAGCAGCATTGACACAATGTTGAACCATTTTATAGTTTAATTAGTATAAAATGTTAAAGAACAAAATGTGATCTCTATCGATCCATGGTAAAGCAAAAAGAAAAGAACAAATAAATAAACAAATATTGAGTATTATTATACCACAGAAAAATGTCAGCTTACATATAATTGATTATAGATGTCATTGATTCATATATTTTATTGATTATTAATAGAAAAAATTATTTTTCATTTCTGTACATAGGTAATGAATAATCAGTTAATTGAATTGATTCATGTCTTTTCGACTCATAAAAATTAGTCATTGTATGATAGTTTGTGACATCTGCAGTACACATTGAAGTATATATAAATTCTTTGAATTAGATTACAAATAAATATTTAGAATGTTTTGTTACGGTCTGGTAGTGACGCAAACCAGGATTTTTCTGGAAGCTGGATCTCAGCTTCAGAGCATAGGACCTAGATGAAACTTATCGAGGATGATATATTGGACTCCAATAATAAGTCTTTATGAAAAAATTTTTGAGATTGGAGTTTACGAAAGAAAATATTTTTTTTATCCTCCAAAAATTTCTTTTTGGTTTTTGTAATATTCCGTTTTTTAAAGCTTTTTTTGTAATCTACATCGCGTTGCATCGATATAGATTAAAATTTCATCAAAAAACATGCATCCGTTCAGAAGTTATAACGTTTTGAATTTTTGTCAAATGTCGCAAAAATTTTTTCATAACGACTCATTATTAGAATCCAATATCGTCCTCGATAAGTTTCATCTAGGTCCTATGCTCTGACGCTGAGATCCAGCATACGGAAAAATCCTGGCGGTGTCACTGTGGTCTGGTAAATAATATGTAGTACTTGGATATTTCCATCGACTATTTCTAAATTGCATGAAACTTTCAGAGTTTGTAGATCTTAGTGAACTATTAAAATCCTCAAGATCAGTTTTTTTAATTTCATCAATAAGTAGGTATATAATGTGATAATATTTTTTAGGATTTTTAGATATAACCGCAAAAATTCAGTTTTTGTTGAAAGTAGTCTCACACAATAATATTTCAAATTAAATACATAAAGTACTAAGTTTTATATATATTCTGATAGCTTCTGATCTTGGCTACATTTTGACCACTTTTTTTTGTAAATATTTTGAGAATATTATCCTTTCATGATGCTAAATGTTAGCACATATTTTATGCAAACAAAAAAATGTTAGGAAAAATGGAATTCGGAAACATAGCCATACATAGGATTTTGTAGAGAATCGCTTGCTCTACAACATGCACTAGATTCGAGCTCTTCTGTTTTTAATGTGACAAAATGGAAAATCAAGAAAGATAAAAAGATCGCCTTTTTTAATATATAAGAGAAAAATATGCAAATTCTAGCAATAAATATACTTTTTATTCTTCTAAAACGATCTTCTCAGATTATTAATTCAAACAAGGAAGGATGTGAGTGTAGGTATTAGTCTTCTTTTCATCCACAACCCACATCCACACCCTTTACATAAATTATTAGTTTCCAATTGAATGATATAGCCTGCAATTTAGCTAAATAAATGTTTATTTAACTCTTCAGTAAAAAAAGTATCGAAGCTATCTAATGCGAAATTGCTGAGATATAATTTCTGACATATTCAATTATTTGTATGTGTTTCAATTAAATATACAATCAAAATCTGTACTACTGATAATAACAATGAAGAAATTGAATTATGAAATGTATTCTTATATCAAAGTAGTGAATGACATACAATGTTAGGTTTTTCTTGAATAATAAAGCAATAAAGAAGAATTGTTTGGTTTCATAAATCAGTTTCTTATTGTGATCTTTGAAAATTTTTAGTGATATTCATTTTAGGATTAAAATAGAAAATATGGTAATAAGATTAGATTTGTATTAAATGCTATCATAGAAAAAATATCTTAAGAATTTTTCTATGAATTTTAGTAGCACTTCTATGTCATGAGTTACCATTCAATATTATAAAAATGTTTTTCTATGATTGGTAAAAGGTTTTAATTTTCCTTAAATTTAAGGAAACATTTCTCGTTAGTTTTTTTTCTTTTTCACCCGAATACATCAGTAATAATTATCATTTTATAATGTGCAACATTGAAAAAGAAAATCTATAGTGCAAAGAAAAAAAATATTATTCTTCTACATTTCTTCTATGAGAATAAGACGTGCAGTATGACTTATTTTACTTCCATAATATTTCTATTTTCATTCATATATCCATTATTAATTCAATGTCAATCTGGAACATTTATGCCAGTAACAGGACGAATAGATTCATTTAATTATGAAACCTATTTTCGAATGATAAGTGAACCTGAGTGTATATCAATTTGTCTTCAATATTCATCACCATTATGTTATGCTATATCATATGAAAGTTTTCGTCAAGAATGTCGAATTATAACAGAATCTGTATCATCATCGTTTATTCCAAATCAATTATATCTTGATTGGCAATCGTATATTCGAATAAATGACTCTTAAATAACTCAAACTTTTTCAGATATGAATCTGATTTTAAAAAAATAAATAAATCGATTATTTCTTATAAACTTACAGTTTTCATATCTTTAACATAAAGAGATTCTGAACTTTGTAAACTTTTCTTTACTAGTCTATATAAGAATCATTTTATTTTCCTTCGTTCAATTAAAAATATGGAAGATTTAGCAAAATAAAAAGAATTCATTTTTTGTATGTCTGTAAGCGTAACGTTGCATGGTTTTAGAAGAAATTGTTTTTCTTCATCATCAACTTGGATACGTCGTCTGATGTGATCCTTTACTTTTACCAACTTATTCAAGTATTGAAATTGTTCACAAACAACAAACAAGGTAAGTTGTAAAGTGCATTAGAACAATTTCAACATGCATTTGAGATTCAAGTTGATCAAGTCAAATCATTTCATATTCATATGAAATCGTTTGAAATTTTTCAAAAATCACATACACCTAATTATTCTTTATTAGCTATTATTCTTCATAATATTGCAAGAACATTCGAAGATCTTCATCAATATTAAGAAGCTGTTGATATATCTCGTCGTGCTTTTGAATGTGATCATGCTGAAGTAAAAGTTAATCAAGGCGATCTTGATTTATTAAATTGAATTAATGTAAAAAGTGTTTAATATTTTCGATGTATGATCGGGGTTTTTTTTCGAGAATTCTTTTTGATAATTGGAAAAAAAGTAATAGACAGCGGGTTAATCCAAATCTTACATGTGTATAGATGATCTTTCATTGTAGTTACTATCAAATATGTAATTCTTACTAAATAAATGAAAATACGTGCGAAGAAAGCAGTATTCATTAGTGATATAAATGCTGAAAATATAAAACTTAGTCAACAAATGAAATTGAAACTGTATTGAAATTCTCCTGCTAATGTTAACAAATAATGAATACTAAAAATAAAAAGGTAAGATTCCAATCTATGATGTATATAACGGGTGGGCCACAATAAATGTCCCACTTTTGCATTTCATTTTTCCACAACTTAATACGTTGTATTAAAAAAACAAAATATACCATAACATGCAGCGTGAAAAGTTCTATAATTTACACAAGATCGCTTTTTTTTATAATTACACTTTTTACTTTACAAGTGATCAAAATTTGGAGCGGTTAAATTTCGACTGTGCGAAAATTGATCGCAGAGAATTTTGCTTTTATACAAAACGATTATAATAAGCTGTCGCGTGCAAAATGTAGAGCTTTTCTAGCTGCATCTAGTGATATATTTTGCTGTTTTTTTAATAAGAGATACCAGGTGATAAAAAGATGAAATAAGAAAAAAACAATCTACCTCGTAGAAAAAAAATTCTGTTTTTGCGTGGTCAAAATTTGATTGCTTAGCTGATTTTGAAAACAAAAAGTGCACCTATAAAAAAAGCGGTCTTCTATAAATTGTAGAGCTTGTCAAGTTGCATCTTGTGATGTATTTTGTTTCTTTTTAATAAAACGCATCAGATGATAAGTAAGAAAAAAACAAATTGGTCGTGTATTGAAAAATGACTTTTTCGCAGCACCAAAATCTAATCGCTCAGAATTTTTGATAGCTTTGAAAACAAAAAGTACAACTATAAGAATAGCTGTCTTGTATAAATTGTAGAGCTTCTCCTGTTGCATCTAATGGTATGTTTTGTTTTCTTTTTAAATAGAAGATATCAGGTAATAAAAAGATGAAACGAGAAAAAACGAATTCATCTTTAACCAAAAAAAAATCATTTTCGCACAGTCAAAATTTGATCGCTCTATATTTTATCGGTTTTGAAAGCAAAAAGTGTAACTGTAGAAAAAGCTGCCTTGTATAAATTGTAGAGCTTTTTACGCTGCATCCTGTGGTATATTTTGTTTTTTAATACAACGTATTAAGTTGTGGAAAAATAAAATGCAAAATTGGGACATTTATTATGGTCCACCCGTTATATGTGGACTCGAATTTTTCAAATATGCAAAGGCCAATTAATTCAGATTCATTGAATCTGACAAGTAAAAAAATACAACTGTCATATTTTCTCTATTAATACTAGCAATTTTTACCTCCTTCTTGTTACATTTCATCTGCATAGTAATCTACATGCAATGAATACCTTTGAATAAAAGATAAAAGAACAACAAACCAGGCTCCACGATGTGGCAGGGGCTAGCCCCCGGCATTTTTTAAGCGTGTCTGCGAAAATTTTTAATACTGTCTGGCAAAAATGTGTAATATAGTCTACGAAATTTAATTTTACGGCTGCAGTCGACTGGTCACGTGATAATATTAGCGGTGAAAAATTTTTGTTTTAAGACAATTTTTCCGAAGATTTTACTTAGCCCTGGACGGGGGTGGAGGTATCTTCGTCGCGCTACCCCCCACCCGGTCATCACTATTAATGTAAAATTGGGAAGTCCCCGAGAAAATAAGTGACTGTCTGCCAAGTTTTTGTGAAGTGTCTAGCAAAATAAAAAAAAACTTTAGCCCCCGCCACTCTCAAAAACAATCGAGAGCCTTGCATCAAACACGAACATGTTAAAGTCAGTCACGTTCTTGTTGATTTTATTTTTTTAGTTGTTCTAAGATTTGATATCTTACTTCAAATAAAACAGAGGGTATCACACACTTATCAGTCATTTTACCAGTGGTTTTTTCTTTTTTAAGTAAGATCATGAGGATTTGTTTTCTATTATTCATATTGTGGTGTTGTGCTGTCAATGGACTTTTATATCCGGCAGAAAGTGAAACAAGACAAATTAGATCATTAGATGGTCTATGGCAATTTCGACTTGATGAAGACGGAGTAGGAGAAACTGAGCAATGGTATGCTAAATCAAATTTACCTCCACCAACTATTCTTATGCCTGTGCCAGCTTCGTACAATGATATCACACAAAATATTACTATTCATCGACATATTGGATGGGTATGGTATGCACGTGATTTCTTTATCCATAATACAGCACCTCGTTGGGTACTTCGATTTCAAGCTGCTCATTATGAAACTCGTGTTTGGGTCAATGGACAATCAGCAATGAATCATTCTGGTGGACATCTACCATTTGAAGCTGATATTACTCGATTGATATCAAGTAATGAAAGTTATTCAAAAGTACGAGTTGTTGTAGCTGTTAACAATACTCTTACATCTACAACATTACCACCAGGTTATTTACATATTGATAATCCAACTTATCGTTATCTCGAAACTCCATTTGATTTTTTTAATTATGCTGGTATTGATCGTTCAGTTATACTTTATTCTACTTCAAATGTTTATATCCAAGATATTGCTATTGATACACAAAGTATTAATTTTGATGATCAATATATCGCTACATCCGCTATTCTTACTTATTCTATCACAATTGGTGGTACTAATCGAGCTAATACTCTTCGCGTACTCATTGAACTAATCGATACTGATGGTATAGTTGTTGCTAACAATACTGATTCTCAATCACGTCTAGTTGTTAATAAACCAAATCTATGGGAACCTTGTGGAATGAATCATACACATCCTTGTACTGAAGAAAGTTATTTGTATACTTTACAAGTGACATTATATAATGACGAAATATCATCATCAATAAATGTCATCGATATTTATCGTATACCACATATAGGAATACGTACTATTAGATTAACGGATTCAAAATTTTTGGTCAATGAACGTCCTTTTTATTTTCATGGAGCTAATGCACATGAAGATAGTGATATTCGAGGAAAAGGATTCGATCGAGTAATTCTTGCTAAACATTTTAATTTATATGGTTGGTTACATGGTAATGCATTTCGAACATCACATTATCCATATGCCGATGAATTTTATCAAATGGCTGATAGATTTGGTATAGCAATTATTGGTGAAACACCAGCTGTTGGATTAAGTACAAAACAATTTGTTTCACAAGCTACACTAGATCATCATAAACAAGTAGTTACAGAAATGATTAATCGTGATAGAAATCATCCATCAGTTCTTATGTGGTCTTTAGCAAATGAACCTAAATCTGATGCACCTGAGGCAAAAGCATATTTTAGTGCATTAGCTAATTTTACAAGACCGATAGCATCAGGTCGTCCTATTACTTATGTTATTTCAGCAAGTTATAATGATGATCAAGGTATTCAATTTTTTGACATGATTTGTGTCAATCGTTATTTTGGTTGGTATAGTCAATCGGGTCGTCTCGATCAAATACCATCGTTAGTATCTCAAGAGCTTGCTAATTGGCGACATAGATTTCCAAATAAACCAATATTGATGAGCGAATATGGAGCAGATACAGTACCTGGTCTTCATAATGATCCATCATTTATGTTTACTGAAGAATATCAAAATGATTTTCTGTCTGCTTATCATGGATCTTTTGATAATGTTTCTTCTATAATTCATTCTGATACAGGTTATTTTGTTGGTGAATTAGTTTGGAATATGTTTGATTTCGCGACTGAACAAAGTATTACTCGTGTAGGTGGCCTAAATCGTAAAGGTCTCTTCACTCGACAACGTCAACCGAAAGCAGCTGCTTTTACAATGAAAAATCGCTACGAACAACTTGAATTAATACGAACAATAGAGCGTAAAACTATTTGATGAACAATCAAGTCTTTCACTTGTTTAATTGAATGTAATTATCCAAATTAGCAATAGTTCGTCATAAAATTTCGTTGTCATGCATAGTAGATGTTTTCTTTTTTTTTCTGTATATTTCATTGTGTCATTCAAAGTGTGAACTTGCAGAGCAAAACAATAAAATCCTATCGTTTAGTTTACTTCGTAAGAAATGTTTCTGCTAACATCAAACTTCTTTTGTGTTTTTTCGAGCTAGAATTTGATAGAAATCAGAGACCATTTTTATTTACAATAATTAGATAATTCATATGTTACTCTCTTTTTTTTTAATCATACTATCGATGTTTACATAGTTCAGTTATTATAGCAACATGAAAGACTAATGATGCACAAATATTGTTCGATTGTATTTATATGTTAATGTAAAAAATATTTATAATAAAGTCGAAGAATAACAGCATTTTGTATAGTTGTTACTAAATTAAATAAAAATATGAGTAGATCATGAAATGAATCAACTAGACAATGTATATGATGCAATGATAGAATTCACCAACGGTATAGAAGAGTTACAAAAAAAAAAGCATCATCAGAAAAAATCGTCATTGAAACTAAGTAGTTTTATTGCTTTCAAAAACATATGTGTTTTGCTTACAAAAGAAAACAACTGACGTCAATGTTTTAGTTTTCATATTTGATTACATAGAAAGGATTCTTTCATCTATGATGAGGTGGACATATTGCTATGAATTGTCAAGTTTTAGAAATATAAAAAAGACACTTTTCGAAATTTACATATGCGAACAAAAAATATTACCAACATTTCTTAAAAAAGATAAAGAAAAAATTTGGTTTGTTTAGATTACAATGAGTCATCAACACCATAATAACAGAACATAAATAACCGAAAAAACACAGACGACTGAATCGTTCGATTCTTTGTCAATATTTTCTTACTGTAAACAAACCACAACTCATGCTAGCTTCTAGAGAATGTTGAGAACTAACATGTTTGCTCTTTCAATAAAACAGAAAAAAACAAAACGTTACTATTTTGGTTATTTATAATGAAGTTGTGTTGTTTAGAAGAAAAAGGGAAAAAAGTATAAAAATAATTCTTTGAATACATACAACAAAGATAAAAATATTGAGGAAAAATCGGATGGAAAATACTTAATACCATAAAATAACATGAGTGAAAAAGACAACTATTATATTCACCATATATTCAAACATAATAGAAGTTATTACACGACTTCACATTCTCGTGATGTTGAAAACTTTTGGTGAGATTTCATCCTTAGCGAATCGAATGCAAATATTCAAAATTCTATTATTTAATTTCAATGTATCAATTTTCTTATTTAAATTGAACAAGAAAAAATATTTCTCATTATGTTGAATTCTATGGATAAAACTCATGTGTTTTATCGACAATATTACTTAAATTGATTCAATTTATGTATTTTGTAAACATAAACAAAAGAATGAATTCTTGGCATAAGTGGATATGAAAAAAATGACAGATACAATGATTGATATTAAACCGATTTGACATATACTTAAAAAAAGATGTTCGTCAATGTGAAGCTAGTTCGATGTCTTTTAGTATTATTCTTGGCATAATTCTTGAATCAAATGAACTAGGTCAATGTGTTCATAATTATTGAGAGAAATTATTCTTAAACTCATTAATTTTTGACATGAGCAATATGCAGACCATTGTTATAAACTGAATATTACGAATGTGTTAGAACGAAAGTACAATATTTTATCACCAATCTGGTAATATACTAGCGAACATTTTCTATATTCAATTATGATCAAAGGTTTAAGAACACAAGATATCGAAATTATTATAAAGATGATCTTTTTCATTTCAGACACTCATTGAAAAATTCTATTCTCAATCAGACAATCCACATGTACATAGAAATACTCTTGTCAAGCTCGAAAAAATCTAGATTTAATAGTCATTATTTTTTAGATGAAAATTGATCCAACGATTTCTTCGACCTCATTTGTTTCTTTAGATAATACTACTAGTTATTATTCAAGCAACGATAAACAGATACTTTCTTCATACATATCATTTTTGTTTTTGCATTAGTAACACGACGCAAATCGAAGATCAATTATGATGCACTAATTGACTATTAACTACTATTGACGATCAACAAATAAGACAGATCACTGAACATATGAAAAAGGAGATAGAGACTGATACAGAGTTCTATCAGATGGGTAAACTGGTCATTGAAATGGATGAGTTTAACGAAGTGTATACATATGTGATTAGAAAAAAAACATTGTCGAAAATATTATCGATACTCTTTTGATAATGCTTTAATTTATCTAACATGCTGATGTTAAATTTACCGAAACTTATACAGATATTGAAATAGTTCTTCGAAAAACAAATTATATTACAAAAATACATTGAAGAATTTCACTCTGGCTATTACAACTCATATTTATCTATCACAGTTCAATCTAAAACAGATTGTTACTCATTATAATAATATTAATGGCATACTTATGAATCAAAAAAAAAGTATACGTAAGCATTCAAGAATTTTAATTGTGCACTCGAAACTAAATGTCGTCATCTTCCACTCTATCATTCAACTTTTAGTATAATCCATAATAATATTAACTCGATACATTATACAATGAAAAATTATTCGAATGCTTTATTTTACTATGAGAAGCCACTTGAGACTGATTGAAAAACTTTTTTTTTTCAATTAATCATTCATCATTAACTGGTACTCATGTTAATATAACAGCAGCATACAATAGTATTCATCAATATTAAGAAAGTGCCGAATATATTAGGCAAACTATTGATATCAACCTTCATTCATTCGACTTAAACCATTCACCAAAAGAGAACTATCAACATAACTTTAATCGATGTCAACGAAAATCAAGAAGAATTAATTGAATATTCGACGATTGTATCGATTATTTTAGTTAAATGTTATATATATTATTCTGTCCATGTATATTTTCTAATACACTTAATTCACTACTTTACAAAGTCATGTACGTTCTAAAGAAGATCCATTTTAGTAAATTCAGTTTGTATTTATGATGGTTTGAACATATAAAACGTTAAATCAGCTAAAAAAATTTTTCGATAATCAAAATTAATTAAAATATAAAATAATGATGTTTATCAGGCAAAGGTCTATTTATTTGTAAAAATATTGACTTTTTCTTTTAATAAAATTCAAATTCAAAATTTTTCTAACGAAAATATTTTTCAAATTTTATTTGAAGAAAAAGATTTTACGAGTTTTAAGAGAAAAGAAAATTATTAATAATTTCTTGTTGAATCTATAGTATCATTTTTACATACAAACCAACAAAACAAAAACTGATATCACTTATTCAAAATTTTTACGTTCAAAATTATCAAAATCTTATAATTGCAAGAATTAACTCTACAGTAATTATAAATTTTTTTGCATTATACACCTTTGCTATTACTAATTATAAAATTGAGATGATTAAAAGAGTTTACAAAATTATTTTCAGATTATCCGCATTTTGCTTATATTTATCCATATTCTAAGCGCATTAATCTAAACACACATTATTTTCTCTCATAGATCTTGATTAAAATCCATCATTTCATTTTCATTTGATTAATTATTGTATCACTTCGGAGTACATATAAAATCAACCAATTAAAATTCGACAGATGTATGCAGGTAGTTTATAGAGCATTTTTCTTCTCGTTCTTTATGTAGAACATGAAAGAAAACTAAATCACATGGTCCAATAACTTTATATGTTGATAAACTAGTTTTATCATGTACGAATATCTCATCTTTATTATTCTTATCATTTTCATTTCAAATATTTCAACAACAAATAATATTGATGATGTATATTCATTAGAAACATGTAATATTCCAGAAGAATTTTCTTATATAACACAAGATGAATTTAATATTCGTTATGGTGGTGATGAAAAAAATTCTTCTAGACCAGTTGTTTTTCGTCAAATACCAATTAATAAACAATTTCTTAATATGATTCAACTTGATTCAATATTACATCATTTTGGTAATAAATATATTACTGTAACAACAGCAAATACATATTCATATAAAAAAGAATATATTAAATTAAATGATTATATAAATTTACAAAAAAAATCATTAAAATCAACTAAATGGGGAAAGTAAGCTTTTTCAATAGAAAAAAAAAAAAACATTTTTGGTTTCTCTAGTGAAACTCTTTATTGGTTTGGTGATGATTTATTAAATGATCAAAAATGGCTTCATGAAATTCTTCGATATTATAAATCACCATCTTATATTGTTGGTGATTTTATTCAACCATCATTAAATTTTGGTATTGGAGGTCAAGGTACTGGTGTACCATTTCATTTTCATGGTCCTGGTTTTCAACAAATGATATTCGGTAGAAAACGTTGGTATTTATCGTTAGAAAAACCTTTATTTGATCCAAATGAAACAACAATTCAATGGTCAATTGAAAAACGATTTATGCAAAAACAACCATTTCTTTATGAATGTACATTATACCCTGGTGATATTATTTTTTTTCCTAATTTATGGTGGCATGCAACATTAAATTTAGATTTTTCAATTTTTCTATCAACTTTCTTAAGTCTATAATTAATTACTAGTTAACAAGCAGCAGATAATTATCAAAGCATTTCAATAGACAAATTCATGTAAAACAGATATTACTTTCAGTACTCATTTATATACTTCATATTTCAATGAAATATATAGAATGACAATTATTTGGATTATTTGATTTTTTCCAATATAGGTTTGAGAGAAACACACAAGGGGATTTCTTTGTTCTAACTTTTCTTTCTGGAAATTTTTGTTAGCTACTATTGAATCGGTTTTGTAATATTTTCTTTTTATCGAAAATATGAAAAATAGACAAATTTCATTTGAAGATTTTAATTAAAGTTGAATGTTAGTAATACAAGTTTCAAGAAAAACTAATCACTTTTTGTCTAATACTTA